TTGCCTGACTGTTTGCTTAACTGTCTGACTAGATGCTTAACTGTAGGACTAGTTCCTTACCTGCCTTACTAGTTGCTTAACAGCATGACTAGTTGCTTAACTGCATGACTAGTTGCTTAGCTGATTGACTTTCAGCTTAACTGCCTGACTAGTTGCTTAACTGCAGGACTAGCTGCTTAACTGCCTGACTAGTTGCTTAACTGCATGACTAGTTGCTTAACTGCATGACTCGCAGCTTAACTGCCTGACTAGCTGCTTAACTGCCTAACTAGTTTTTAAAAAAATGTTCGTTATACCAAACAAATGATGCATTAGAATGGAAATTCAACAATAATGATTTTTTTAAATGGGCTATTTTAGATCAAAGCATATTAGAGTTTTTACGTTGAAAATGTTTTATTTGTATTTAGAACAAGATTATATTTTTATAGAAAGTCTTAATTCAAGACAAACATGACTAAATCTAACCTTAGATTCCTAATCTTAAAAGAATTTCAGGTTATCATTAAATTTTCAACTTGATATTTGTTGTAAGGAAAATAATGCTAACGCTATTTTTGTTCAGAATCAACTGAGTTTTAATTTTTGTTTTTAAATGCTTTAAAAGCGAACTCTACAGTAAAGTAAATGGAATGCATTCTATGAGAAAACCTAATTTAGTTAAATATTCAACATTCTTTTCCCTCTGCATTTTAAGTTCTTCTCTATAATTTTGTACAGTTTTTAACTTCTGAAAATTTTGCCTTGACGCAGCAATGTTTGGTAAAAAGCAAATAGATTTTCGTACAATACATCGCAACGTAGAATTTGTACATGTCAGTACAGCTGTATTCTTACGTCACAAGTGTCCAACAGTTTTAAGTGTCCAACAAATTATTAATAATAGTGATAATAAAGTGCTTATATTTCATTGAAATAAGTGCAATTTTGTGTCCTTTTTTCTGTTTATACACTTTTGATTTAATCTTAGAAAAATGTCTACTAATGGGAGAAAATGTTGTCTTCCTTGTTATACTTGACACTTGTGACGTCATGTATAATTGGTCCATTTCTCTGTTGCCACCTATTGTACTTGATATACAAACTGCAGAAATGCGGGTTGCAGAAAGAAAAACTTCGGAAAGACAGACATTCTGCGGTACATGTCTGGGACGCCTCAGAAGACCTAACCTAATTTTGAGCTATATAAAAAAAATCAAATACTTTAATTTCAAGATTTCCGAAGTTTGAAGATTCCAGAGATTTCCTTTTTCGCCGTTTTCATTTCAGGAGTTTTTATTTCAGCAGTTTGTAATTCTGGAGTTTGTATTTTAGGAGTTTGTATTTCAGAAGTTATATTTCAGGAGTTTGTATTTCAAGAATTTGTATTTCAGAGTTTGTATTAAAAGAGTTTTATTTCAGGAGTTTGTATTTCAGAAGTTCGTATTTCAGGAGTTCGTATTACTGAAGTTTGTATTTCAGGAATTCTTATTTCAGGAGTTTATATGTCAGGAATTTATATTTCAGGAGTTGTATTTCAGGAGTTTGTATTTCAGGAGTTTATATTTCAGGAGTTTATATTTCAGGAGTTGTAATTCAGGAGTTTGTATTTCATGAGTTTGTATTTCAGGAGATGTATTTCAGGAGTTTGTAATTCAGAAGTTTGTATTTAAGGAGTTTGTATTTCAGGAGTTTGTATTTTAGGAGTTTGTATTTCAGGAGTTTGTATTTCAGGAGTTTGTATTTCAGGAGTTTATATTTCAGGAGTTGTATTTCAGGAGTTTGTATTTCACGAGTTTGTATTTCAGGAGTTTGTAATTCAGAAGTTTGTATTTAAGGAGTTTGTATTTCATAAGTTTATATTTCAAGAGTTTGTATTTCAGGAGTTGTATTTCAGGAGTTTGTATTTCACGAGTTTGTATTTCAGGAGTTTGTAATTCAGAAGTTTGTATTTTAAGAGTTTGTATTTCCAGAGTTTGTATTTCAGGAGTTCAAATTTCAGAAGTTTGTATTTCATAAGTATATATTTAAAGAGTTTGTACTTTCAAGAGTTTGTAATTCAGGAGTTTGTATTTCAAGTGTTTGTATTTTTAAGAGTCTGTATTTTTAAGAGTTTGTATTTCTAGAGTTTGTATTTTAGGAGTTTGTATTTTAGGAGTTTGTATTTCAGGATTTTTTATTTTAGGAGTCTGTTCTTTCAAGAGTTTGTAATTCAGGAGTTTGTAATTCAAGTGTTTGTATTTTTAAGAGTTTGTATTTTTAAGAGTTTGTATTTCTAGAGATTGTATTTCAGGAGTTTTTATTTTAGGAGTTTGTACTTTCAAGAGTTTGTAATTCAGGAGTTTGTATTTCAAGTGTTTGTATTTTTAAGAGTTTGTATTTTCAAGAGTTTGTATTTCTAGAGTTTGTATTTTAGAAGTTTTTATTTTAGGAGTTTGTATTTCAGGAGTTTTTATGTTAGGAGTTTGTATTTTTAAAAGTTTGGTTGTTGCAAGTTTCTAGGATTCCTTTGTATTATGATGGTGTTCAGTTTAGAAGAGAAATATCTTCGAGAATAAAGTTTAAACAATTCTATGCTCCAAGAAAGAGGAAACACATTAAGCTAATTCTTAATACAAGTCTTGGCTTCTGCTCTAGTCAGCGATATGGGAAATTACAGCATAAAATCTAAAATGTTTTCTTTGTGAAATAGAAAAATTTTATTCTGCTAAATTTTGAGCAGAGCAATGAGAAACTGAGATAGATTGATCCAAGGAACTATATACAGGTACGCCCAACTCTGATATACGCATATTATGTACTGTACACTGTAGGAGGAATGTAAACAAAACCAATGCCCCAACAGAAGTTGAAGGGAAAGGACTACAGCTCTGATGTGATATTACAGTCCAACAAAAAACTAATTAATATATCAAAATGGAAAATACAATAGCAATATATTCTGATTCCACCCCTTGGGCCTTTTTCCCGCAAAAATGATGCGTTGCCCCTGAATTCTTTGTTTTGATCTTCTCCCACTGCAGTACACAGATTTGACGCATGAGATATAGCGGTTCCAGGTCTATATATTTCTTGAATTGACTTTTCATCTTCTTATCTTTACTTTATATTTTTCTTGAACACTGTACCTTTAAAACTTTCTTTGAAGGAATATTAAAGGAAATAGTGTATCTTTGTTTACGTACTGCGCACTGCAGTTTCTGGAAGGAATGAAAACAAACTTAGTTGCTCTTTTTAACTTTCATGTCATTACTTCTGGTTCAACTTAGAAGTTTATTTAATACGTTAATACTATACTGATATCAGAATATTTGGAAATTTCAAAGTTTTTGGTACGAAATTCTGAACAATTTGAAATTCTGATTAGAGATAACTCACAAGTTGTTAAATCCCTTATTAGAGATATCTCACAAGTTTTTGTATCTCTTAGTGGAGATATCTCACAAGCATTTATATCCCTTAGTAGAGATATCTCACAAGTTTTATATCCCTTATTAGAGATATCTCACAAGTTTTTATATCCCTTATTAGAGATATCTCACAAGTTTTTATATCCTTTATAAGAGATATCTCACAAGTTTTATATCCTTATTAGAGATAACTCACATGCTTTTATATACCTTATTAGAGATAACTCACAAGTTGTTATATCTCTTATTAGAGATATATCACAAGCTTTTATATTCCTCATTAGAGATATATCACAAGTTTTATATCCCTTAGTAGAGATATCTTCCAAGCTTTTATATTCCTTATTAGAGATATCTCACAAGTTTTTATATCCCTTATTAGAGATATATCACAAGTTTTTATATCCCTTGTAGAGATATCTCACAAGCTTTTATATTCCTTATTAGAGATATCTCACAAGTTTTTATATACCTTATTTTTCGACTTCGCATTGTAAATTGTGATTGCTTATTTGTAAAAATATCTCATGCTTTGTAGTTAAATAAAATATAAAATATAAAATGTTAGGGTTTCTTCTAATAAAATATACTTATGTGAGTGCGGGTAAACGGTGGGATTAACTAGTTAATCCCGCCGGTGCTATAATATACAGTTAATTTGATTTTATGTCACAATGATTACTTTATAGCACGGTGCTATAATATACAGTTAATTTTATTTTATGTCACAATGATTACTTTATAGCACGGTGCTATAATATACAGTTAATTTTATTTTATGTCACAATGATTACTTTATAGCACGGTGCTATAATATGCAGTTAATTTTATTTTATGTCACAATGATTACTTTAAAACACAGCGTCATAATAAACAGTTAATTTGATTGTATTTGTATAGCACGGTGCCATAATATACAGTTAGTTCTATTTTATAGCACGATGATTACTTTATAGCACGGTACTATGATATAAAGTTAATTTGATTTTATAGCACAATGATTACTTTATAGCACGGTGCTATGATATACAGTTAATTTGATTTTATAGCACGATGATTACTTTATAGCACAGTGTCATAATAAAGAGATAATTTGATTGTATTTGTGTAGCACGGTGCCATAATATACAGTTAATTCTATTTTATAGCACGATTCTTACTTTATTGCACGGTGCTATGATATACAGTTAATTTGATTTTATAGCACGATGATTACTTTATAGCACGGTGCTATAATATACAGTTAATTTGATTTTATAGAACAACTTTATTGCACGGTGCTATGATATACAGTTAATTTGATTTTATAGCACGAGATTACTTTATAGCACGGTGCTATAATATACAGTTAATTTGATTTTATAGAACAAAGATTACTTTATAGCACGTCAACAATAAAATTCACAATGAAGTTGTATGAATGATAAAGTACTCAATAATTTCATTAAATCTATTTTGGCGAAAACTTGAAAATTGTCAATGGAAAATTGTAAGTTTCCCTTTGTCGTTGCATACAGTACACTTTACATATAATTTATTTGATCAAAATGTAATTTTGTAAAATTATTATGCAATTATTTTTATTATTATGCAATTATTTTTATGTTTTACCTGTTTGGACCAGCCCAGTGAAACACCATTTCATCCGACGTGAAAGAAACTAAAAAAAGAAAATTATAAAATATTATGGAATATGTACGCACGCGTATATGAATGTCTAAAGTTTGAAATATTTTAAATTGAAATTTTTATTTTTATGGCCGTCTGTGTTTAAAATTATGTCAAAACGATTAGATTTTAGTTCCACATAAAGTTGGCTAAAAATGTTTAAACTCAACTGCCAGAGCGCTTCGCGCCCATTTTCGATTTTAACTTTTAATTGTTGATCGTTTTTTTTTGTAAACACTCGTATCCAAGATTATTAAAATATCTGGTGCTGTTTTGACTAGGGTATTTATATATAATGTTATTAAATGTTAAAAACCATATTCAAGATTTTAAGAAAATATGAAACTAGCTGTTTACAAAGTTTGGGGACAAGATATTTTTAACCCTTTTTTAATGAATTTTTTTTACTTTTAAAATGTAGTAATTTTTATATGCTTTTATATATTTTGGCTCACTGCGGGGTTCTAATAAAAATGATTTTGTACTAATAGATGTCATAGTCTTAACAATTATGATGTCACTTACCACTTTCTATGGAGAATGTGCACATGGGTGAATCGAAGGGGAAAATGTGAAGGTCGCCTTCACAGTTTAAAACAAGATGGCGCCGCATAGAGTACAGTACAGTTCCGTTTTCAAAGATTTTCATGGCGATACTTGTAGGGTTCAGATTTTCCTATAATCATTGTTATATTCTTATTACGATCATTTGTATTTGTAATTTTTAAACTTTAAACTTCATTTAAAACCTTTTATCTGATCAAAAGTATGGAAGGTATTGTCGTTTTTCCAGATTTAAAATAGTTTAATTAAGAGAGAAACGTGGATCTCTGTTCTTGGGTTACTACTGTTGGAAATCGGACATGCCATTCGTTTTAAATAAAGGGTCACTTGTTATTACATCTACAATCCCTTTAAGGTTTCATTAAGATTAAATTACCTTAAATGTTCCGTGTTTAATAAAGTATATATCTGGTTTCCAAATATCTCCGTGGTGGTGCAAGGCATTCAGGAACGGATACCTTAATGATAGTTTTTCATGTAGATGAAAAACAATTGATATTTAGAAACAGAATCATTTTATTTGAAAATTCTATATCATGAGGGTTAGATTTACTTTCAAGAGGGTGTACAAGAATCTGATTTATTTAACCTATTTCAAAATTGAATATTCTTTAAGTTGGTTTTTATTACATTATGCCAAGGTTATAATACAAGGAAAGTTATTTCAGAAGTGTACGCATTTTTGTACTGTAGTGTACTGTCTCTGGGCGGTAATGTAAACACAAGACGGATGTCGAAGCCTGACATGGGATCCATCTTTCACATAAAAAATCAATTCTGGTCATAGGAAACTATTATGTGAATTATCAAAATTTTCAAAATTCAATGATTTTATCCTCCTCGGATAATAAACAAACACTGATTTATCTCTTCTTGTTTACAAATTCCACCCAGAGAGAACTGGTTGCAATATGTACGTAGAGTATACGCAACTGTAATTAACTTTCCTTGCATTATGCTGAATTTTCACTCGGACGAAAGATATCAACCAAAACTAATAAAATCGTTTTGAAAACTCTTTTTGCAATGGGGTTAAAAAAATTAATATAGGGAGTGTCGCTGCCAAGTGTTCTTAGCGAGATTATACAGCGACATGTTTTATAGCGGTACTAATTCATTGTGAAAGGTATTTATTATGTGCAGGGTTACCCATAAAGGATTAACTTTAAAGACGATTGTACGGAATTTTTTTAGTCCATTTCCTTGCATTCAAGGTTCCTTGCAGGCCAAAACTGGCTTATTTCTGTGCTTAATCACTTAATAAACCATCAAAATATTCAATTGAGAGTAGAAACCAAAAAGCAAGCTTCAAATTTTTAGAGTTTTGGGTCGTCTTTACAATCCCATCCTTTGTGGGTAACCCTGCATGTAAATAATATTTTTTGTCATTAATTTTAAAAAAGTTAAACGATTTTAAAAAAAAGAACCGGATGAAATATAAACCTATATCTATATATATATATACTTTGCTTGTCTGGGTGGGTGTCTGTTTGTATCCAATAAACGTCAAAACGGCTGAACCGATCGGGCCCAAATTTTGTGTGGGGCCTCACATGACCCCACGAAACTGAAGCCAAAACTTTTCTAATTTTTGTGTGGAGTGTAGTTAGTCTTGAACACTTAATCTCGATATCCAATTTGGGCACTTTTGAGGATGATCCCTCAACTATAGTTATCCCTGCACTCGCAGGGTTTGGCCATTTACCACCACGGGATATCGAATAGGAATGACATTATGCTGTAGGTCTGCATGAGATGGAGATCAATGCGTTATCCTGAGATTCACAACACAAAAATTCCAACCTCTGTACAATTTGGTGATTTCTGGATGACAGACAAAAGCTTGCACGAGATAGATTTGAAAGGCTAGAACTAGACGGATCCGGTGAAATCAATTTTGAAATATACTCTAGTATTTGATAGGAAATATAGAAATATAGCATTATCCAACCTGGACAACAGGCCCGGTAAAAACTTAGTAAAGCCGTTCACAATTTTTACATCCCTGTCTTTTCTCTGTATTGGAGTGGGGTACAAAACGTCGAACAACAAAACTTTGATGATTCAAAACGTCAACTGCTACAAAACTTCGATTATCAAAACGTAGATTATCAAAACGTCGAACAACAAAACTTTAATAATACAAAACGTCTACTGCTACAAAACGCCAACTGCTACAAAACGTCGACAGCTACAAAACGTCGAACATTAAAAAAACGTCGACTATTACAACACGTCTAATACCAAAATTTTACATTATGACGGGTTAGGTTAGGTAAAAACAGTTTCTTGGCCGAGCGCTGCGGCTAGGATAGGCTAGGGCGCTCCCTGCCTGGGAGTGCATGAATAATTTTACTCTGTATGATGCATGACCAGACAGTTTTCCTTTAGTCGCTTCAATGGATTTATTCCGAGAATCTAGAGTAACCTTTTTATTAAATTATGCTTTTAGGAAGAAATGAGTCGGGTTTCCATCCACTATGTTTATCATACTTATACAGGCTAGAAGATTTTTATTTAGAGGTCGAAATTTAAAATACATGTTTATTATTACTTTAAGGAAACCTATTATTCTTTACTATGGTACAGGGTTACCCAGAAAGGACGACCGTGCAGAATTAAATCAGTCTTTCTTTTAATCACTCCCAGTTATAAAGAAAGTCGGGGATTGGAAATCCTCTACAAATTTCGCACCGGCCATGATTGGCTGTATTTCAATAATTGATTAAAAGTATGAAAATAAAAAGTGATTTTTGTCGTATTCACTTATAGCTTGACATCACCACATAGCGTGACATCTACATTGTTTGAAGTGACATATTAATTGTTCCTTTAGCGTTAAATATTTTGCTTTCTTTGCCAAATTATAAAACACAGGTCCACAAAAGAACCTCTCCATTATACAAGACAGAAAATTAATTCAATTGACAGAAAATTAATTCAATTGACAGAAAATTAATTCAATTGACAGAAAATTAATTCAATTGACAGAAAATTAATTCAATTTACAGAAATAAAGAGTTCAAGGTTTGTCATTAAAGTCTGAATCTTTGTGAGTAACCCTGTAAAATATATATTGTAGTTAAGTATTGGTTTGCACTTAGTGGATCTATTATTCTATTGAGTCCCCAGATTTAATCTACAAATAAATATTGAAAGCAGGATTGGGCGATCCTTTCAAATTAACGAGACATTTTCGGAAGATTTAACGAGTGCAGTTAGGACAGTTTTCCATTAGATCGTCACTTTTAGTTTAGTTTAGTCGATGTTTGTGAAGTTTAATACGGAATTGAATCTTGGCCTATTTTACTTTTACAAATCTAGTTCTATCTCTAGAATTCTGGTCCACTCTAAACTTTTACAAATCTTGTTCTTTCTCTAGAGTCTTGGTCAATGAAAAGCAAAAATAAAATTTGATATATACATATTTACAAATAAAATAAAAAGAGATTAAAAACCGTATTTGTCTAGAAACCCTTTAAAAATGAAGCAATGTTTTATATATTTTTAAATCGTCTATATTTATGTAACCCAAGACATGTAAATTTTGAAGAAAAAAAATTACTTGTCTTTTGGTTTAGTTTTCAATAAATAATTGGCAGAACTCGGGGAAATTTTTGCATAAGAGCTTAAGCAACCTTTGGATCCCTGTGGGCAACACAGATATCCTTTAAAATGAACCTTATTGTTTTTCAATACCCAGTTAAAACTACCATAAAATAAGTATCGAAGATGAATAGCTCTATTAATTGCTTTCATAGATTAATAGCAATACAGACAGAACACTAGATGTCTTTTTTCAAGATTTAGGGGTTTTTTCGTTCACAATAACCCTGAGGCAGCATCCCAAAAGAGTTACGCGCATAGAATGACAGAGAGATAGCAGACGCGTAACTCCTCGGGGTTAACGAAAACCTCTAAATCTTGAAAAGGCGACATTTAGTGTTATATCTGTATTGATATTACTCCATGATTGCTTGCTTAAAGAAAAGCATAAAGAAAAAAGTAAATATTTTTTAAGCTTTAATAAAAAGGATTGTATATAATAGAGGAGCAAGGAAAAGAGAAGAGAAACAGAGTACTTTCAAATGTATCCACAAAAAGCTTCCACACAAAATGTCCACACAAAATGTTCCCAAAAAAAAGTATTTACTCAAAAAATGTATCTACACAAAGTTTTCACACAAAATGAGTTCGACCACAAAATGCATCCGACCTTAAAGCGTATCAATGACAATGTCAAATCATCAATTATTTTCAAAATAAAATGTTTCGTTACAAGATATATCCAATTAAACATGGAAGGCAAAATGTATGCAATCACAAAATATATTCGACCAAAAAATATATCCAACCATAAAATATATCCAACCATAAAATATATCCAACCATAAAATATATCCAACCATAAAATATATCCAACCATAAAATATATCCAACCATAAAATATATCCAACCACATAATAAATCTAATCACAACAAATATCCTGCCACAAAATGTATTCTATTTTCTGGAAAATCATTTTTTCGGAAATAAACTTTTAAATTCTCATATAAGATAATTCAGAGAAAGAAATAGATTTAAAAAGGCGAAGAATTTATAAAAAGGTAAAAAGTTTAAAATTTTAGAGTGGAAGAGTTGAGAAGAACATTTTTTAGATATTTATGATATTTTGTCGGCCCCGACATATTTCCTGTTGTTGAGGTTACAAGATTGGAAAGATGTATAGATTGTGAATTATTGAATGAATGTGGATATCGGAGATGAAATGAAAGGAAAAATGGCATACGGATATTTTTCTGATATTTTTCTGATTTAAGAGGACAGGTCAGGGATTTATTATGGGAAAGAGGGAAGGGAAGTGTGTGGAAAAGGGGAAGGTAATGGGGGGGGAAAGGTTGATGGGAAGTGTGGGGAAAAGGGGAAGGAAAGTGAGGGAAAGAGGGGAACTGAAGAGGGAAAGTTAAAGTGGAGGATGAAGAAAAGGGGGAAGGGAAGGGAGAAATTGAGAGCGGAGAAGGAACATGAGAGGGGAAGGTGTAAATAGTTGTTTACATTCAATATAAGATGTTTCTTTTACGGTCGGAATTAAATCGAATTATGTTATGACTATTATGCAGTTATTTTAGGTTAGGATTAGCATGCGGTTAGGTTAGGATTATAATTCAGTTTTGAAAAAATGGGATTAGAATGCATTTAAGAATGGTTAGGATTAAAACGCAGTTATGTTAGGTTATAGGATTAGAATGTAGTTATGTTGGGTTAGGATTAAAATGCAGTTATGTTGGGTAAGAATAAGAATGCAGTTATGTAAGGATAGGATTACAATGCAGTTAAGTTGGGTTAGGATTAGAATGCAGTTAGGTTAGGATTAGAATTCAGTTATGTAAGGTTAGGATGAGAATTCAGTTATGTTAGGTTAGGATTAGAATTCAGTTATGTTAGGTTAGNCAGAATATCTGTTATCCAACAGAATATCTGTTATCCAACAGAATATCTGTTAACAAACAGAATATCTGTTAACAAACAGAATATCTGTAAACAAACAGAAAATCTGTTAACCAACAGAATATCTGTTAAGAAACAGAATATCTGTTAACCAACATAATATCTGTTATCCAACATAATATCTGTTATCCAACAGAATATCTGTTAACAAACAGTTAAGAGTTAAGGGGACGGGGAAATAAACATGATTGTTAAGGGGGATGGGGGAAACAAATCTGATAGTTAATAGGGGATGGGGGAAACAAATCTGATAATTAAGGGGGGATGGTGGAAATAAATCTGATAGTTAAGGGGGGATGGGGGAAATAAACCCAGTAGATAAAGGGGGGAAATAAACTCACTGGTTTCCATTATTGTGTGCTAGTCTTGGATCAACCCACTTCTGGTGCATCAAGAACTCGACTTCATAGTGCTGAATAAGAACAAATTAAAATTGAATAAAATGTAAAAAAAAGGAATTAGAAGCGACCAAAATACAATGCCTTCAACCCATACTAGAAAAGTCGTTATGAATGTGTTTCTCCCTGAAATGGGATAGATTTCGACTGCATTTTCTCGTTCGTCTTTGCTGTTAAAATCAACAAACTTTGGAACTTTATGTTAAAAGAAATTGAGACGTAATTTTTGAGTGGCCCTTCTTTAAACCTTTGTTTGATCATAGATAAATGAGAAATCCAAGTTTTTCAAACTGAAAATCAATCATTTTCAATTATGGTTTCATCTTAAAAGTGGCTGAAGGGTTAATGCACCTTAGACAGTAAGGAAAATAGTAAGAATTAAACACTTATCATAGTAGAAAAAGACAAAATCTTCCTAATTGTTTCTCAGACATAGGTTTAAAGGTTACCGATGTAAATCGTACATGCCACTATTGTAAATGAAGGGTCTGTTGAAACTACGCCTTCATTATCTTTAAGGTTCAGTTGTAGCAAAATAGATTATCAAGGTCACTAGGTGGCAACAGAGAAATCGACCAATTATACATGACGTCACAAGTGTCAAATATAACATAGAAGACAACATTTTGTCCCATTAGTTGACATGTTTTCCAAGATTAAATAAAAAAGTGTAAAAACAAAAATAAAAAACACAAAATCTCACTTATTTCACTGTAATATAAGCACTTAGTTATCACTATTATTAATAATTTTGTCGGACACAAAAACCTGTTGGACACTTGTGACCTTTATTATACAGATTGAACTGTTGACACTTGTGACGTAAGAATACAGCTGAACTGAGAGTGTACAAATTCTACGTTGCGATCTATTGTACTAGAATCTATTTGGTTTTAGCTGTAACTACAGCATAAATTTCAAAATTCCTGTATCACCCCTTTTTTATAAATCCTGCATTGTCCCTGTATCAAATATTTACTCTGTAACAAGGTACTAATGCAAGGAAAGTTATTTCAGAAGTGTACGTATCTTTTGTACTGCAGTGTACTGTCTCCATGGGCGGTGATGTAAACACAAGACGGATGTCACAGCCTGGAATCCATATTTTACATTAAAAATCAATGAAATATTCTGGCCATAGGAAACTATAATGTGAATTATTAAAATTATCAAAATGTAATGCTTTTAACCTCCTCGGATACTAAACTAACACTGATGCATCTATTTTTGTTTACAAATTCACACCAGAGAGAACTGGTTTCAATTCAATATGTACGCCAGAGTATACGCAACTTCAATTAACTTTCCTTGCATTACAACCTTGCTCTGGAAGATATAAATCATACTTACTAAACTTGACTCATCTGGGGAGGAGAGGGAGAGGAGAACAACGGATATATTTACTCTGTATTGGTATTTATCATTATCATATTATCCCCCCCCCCCCTCTGTATATATATTTACTCTGTGGTGGCATTTATCAAGGGCGGACACAGGGGCGGCAGTACCTTCGCACCCCCTTGACAGATTTAGGGGGGCGAGATTTTGAGACAAAAAATGTTCCCAATTTGATCAATCGTATGTGTGTCCCTTTTTTCAAGTTATTTGATTATTCAATGGAATTATAATATTAGAAGATATTTATTAAATAATTGAATCATCAGTACGACGAGAAAAATTATTTTTCTAGCCTATTAAAAATAAATATAACCAACGACATTGTGTTTTTGTTTTATTGGTTTTAATATGATCTTTAGTCATTAATTTTGACTATTTTTGAGTCATCTATGTCAAAAACAATGTTCTTTTGCGGCGTGTCATTTTGTTCCTAAAACCTAAATTACCTAAATTAGTCTAGCACCCCCTTACTTAAATCCTGCATCCGCCCCTGATATTTATTATTATCATATTAGAAGGAAGGATAAGATAATATCCCCCCCCCTGTATTTATATTCATCTTTTTAGATAGATTAAATTCCTTAGAGCAGCAGAGCTTGGTGGCTTAATTCTTCTATCATATCTCTAGAAAATCAGATTCTCACTATTTTTAATTAATAATAATAATAATAATAATAATAATACCAATAATAATAACAATATATAATAATAATATAATAATATACGGGGTTTGTGTACAGTGTAAATATTTGACTATGATATGTAGATTGATACAACACATTCTTGAGAATCCATTTAATAAAATCCTGATTGAGTAAATATTTAGAAAAAGTCTTTAAAATAAAACACCAGAAATAAATTAAAGTTTCTTGAAAAAGAAATTTTAATTTTTTTCAAGATAAAATTTTCTATTAGTTTTTTTTCGCTATGACTTTTATTTGTGAAAGGAAATAAAAACTTTAGATAAAAAGTCAAGATAAAAAATCATCCCAACGGAGTAAGAGATAACATGGAACTAGAGTCGAACCGTTCACCGATTAATTAGGACAGGATGCGTTCGGTTTCTTCACTTTGAATTCATTTGCGCTCTGGTCCATAATTCAACAAATCTTTAAACTTACAGTGTTTAAAAACGTATTTACCGACAAAAAAAGTAAAAAAAAGGAGAAAAGATTAATGTTTATGAAATTATGAAAGTTTCTAGGACGAATTCAAAACTGTTAAATCAGAATGCCCTGTCTTTACAGTGATAACCAGAAAATTGTAGAATAGGAAGACGACATTAAAGCAATACTGAAGTGAGTGCATTTGATGTTGTTACAATGCAAATAGTTTCACTAGTTAGTTATTAAATCACTTATTAAGTTAAATGGGTCTCTTTACACTATACACTTGCTGTGCCTCATGTTTATTTAAAGTCATAACTTGGGTCTAAAACCAAAAGTCGGCTTCATATTCCAGAGTTTTCTGGTTATCACTGTATTAAACATACCTTGGAGGGAAATGTAGTATTTGTCAAAAATGTAATATTTGTCAAAAATACTTTATTTTCGGTGTAAAAATTATTTTCAATTTCTGGCAACCTTCAGTATGTTGGGAAACAAAGAATATGTATTCTCAAACAATGGGCCGTAAATAATTCTAAATGTTTTGTAGTGAGTCACATAAAAAAACTAAACTTAACGCCTTTTTTTTACCGCCCTGTCTTATAAAGGTTTTTTTCAGCCAAAAACGCGGGGTACAAATATACTTTTTAAAAACATTTTTCTTGACACCCTGCAAGTACGAGCATAAGTATGCAGAATGTAATAGAATTGAAAGAAAACAGAAAAATTAATCATGCTTACATGAATATTATTAAAGGGAATGTCTCCAAAACTTATGTTAAAGGAAAACAATATTAAAATCAAGCTTGTGTTAAAATTATAAAGAACAGATAAAATTCTTATTGATGTTATATTCTTTGATTGGACTAAACTGTACTACACTGTACTGTGCTACAATTTACTGCTACGTGCTGTACTGTACTATAGTGTACTGTACTTTACAACTGCACTGAACTGTGCTGTGATGTAGTGTACTGAAACTTTCTGTACTGTACTGTATTGCACCGTTGTGTACTGCATTGTACTATTCTTCACTGTACTGTAAACTAACCACCGTACTGTACTTCACAAATACACAGTACTGTACTACAATGTATTGCACTGTGCAGTACTGTTCTGTACTGTACTGTCTATTTTTATATATTGTTATCAAAACAAAACAAATATGTTCTCCTTGTGTTCCTTGAATACCTGGGTGTGAAGAAGTAGATCCAATATTTCTTTATCTGATAAACCTGACGCAGAGTAGGTCGGCGTAGGTTGCGTAGGTCTCTGCGTAGTTGTTGTTGTTGCTGTGGTGTTGGTGTTAAATGCGTCATCTCTTGTCTGTTTTCTGAAATATTACAAAAGAATGTATTTTTTTCTGATTAGAACATGATGTGCATTCTTCTTAAATGGGTTAACCCTAGATTATAGATTGGAGATATATGTTTCAGGTGAACCAGGAATTGAACTCTCCACTGATTCTACTGAAGTGTAGCTATCTCAGATTTCTAATATTTTCCTGTTCAATCTATATCTGATCTAACGACCCTCTAGAGAGTACATTGCCACCCCTTGGTAAACTCGCAGTCAGCTGATCAGGGGCGCATACAGGGGGGTGGGTTATGGGAGGTTGAGCCCCTCTAGATAATTAAAAGCTATGGTTTCCGGAAGTACTCAGTCCATCCTTCCCAACATAGAAACATAGAAAATATTTCTAAATCTTAAAAAGAAACCAACCTTCGTTTTGCAGAGACTGTAAGTGTACTGATTGTACAGATGATCAAAAGAATCACTATTGCTCTCATTAAAACCATCCTTAAAACAAAATTCCGCATTAAATTCTGATTTCATGGAAGGGGTTATTCGTTAAAAATGTTTTTATGGCGTCTTCCCATTTTACAATTTTATATGGGTCTGTATGAGTTTTATTAAAGAAGAAGAGGGACTAAAAAATAATTAGGAAAATTATGAATTTGCGAAAATGGTATCAAATCATTTAATGAAATATCGTAAGAATAAAAAATTGATCAACTATTTATGCAAGAGAATAAGCGAATAATTAATGAAAAAGATTTGATCAACAAAAAAAGGAAAGGAAGGAGAAAGGAAGAAGAAAGGAAGGAGAAAGGAAGGAGAAAGAAAGGAGAAAGGAAGGAGAAAGGAAGGAGAAAAGAAGGAGAAAGGAAGGAGAAAGGAAGGAGAAAGGAAGGAGAAAGGAAGGAAAAAGGAAGAAGAAAGGAAGGAGAAAGGAAGGAGGAATGAAAAGGATAAATGTAAAATGAAAAGATTGAATAAATGAAAGAATGTGTTAGCATGACATGGACAAGTGAAAGCACAAAAAAAGGAAAATGAATTTAGGATAAAAGAAAGGATGAAAGGAGAAAGTGGTATTATAATTAGGGACAAAACGAAGGATGAAGAATGAAGATTATTGAAATAAATGAATGAGTTTTGTACCTCTTTTTTAGGGCTGAAAAGTCAGATCAGAATGCTATTCTAAAAAAAAATATATTTAAGTATTTATATTAATAATACAAGTTTTAGCCTCTTTGTCGTGTATCACTGTGCAATATATGTAATATCGCTGTGTATTCTGTAATATATGTAATATATGTAATATCAATGATTTCCTATATTGGAAAGCTTAGATTTTTACTCAATAAACTCAGATTTGTTGTTTAAATTTGTTTTAATTTATTTGTGCATTAGCGCCCNCGTCTATCCTTAAATTGTAATTGTTGGGTTTTTTAATTGTTAATCTGGTGAACCAAGGTGTCTCAAAAATTTACAAATTTAAAGCTAAACAGTATCTGGCTAAACTAATTCGTCACAGACAAAAGATATTTAAAATAAAAGACTATTTATTTATTAAAGATTATGTTTAGACATCCAGTTAACAGATCATTGTAGATTAGTAGGAAAGCAAGATGAATTAACTAGAATGTTGGACTGAACATAGCACTGGAATTTTCAAGAACTGTGTGTGAGGGGAGGGGGTTAAACAAATTCAATCATATTTGCGAGGGTTGAATTATTTTTATAAGAATAAGAAAGTTTTCACATGGGATCATTATTGTTTTACAAGGATCCAATTCGTTCTGAAAGGGTCCACTTCGTTTTTCAAGGGTCAAATTTGTTTTGCAAGGAGGTTCAATTGGTTTTACAAGGGTCCAATTGGTTTTACAAGGGTCCAATTAGTTTACAAGGGACTCAAATTGGTTTTGCAAGGAGGTTCATTTGGTTTTATATGGGTCCAATTGGTATACAAGGGTCAAATTGGTTTACAAGGGTCCAAATGGTTTTACAATAAGGTTCAATTTAATTTAACAAACATGATTTTCTTTTTACAAGGAGGTTCAAGTTTTACGAGAGTTGAATTGGTTTTACAAGAATGATATTGTTTTTACAAAGATTGAATTGGTTTTACAAAGATTAAATTGTTTTACACAGATTAATTGGTTTTACAAAGATTAGATTGTATTTAAAAAGATTGATTTTTTTTTTACAGAGATTAAATTGTTTTTACAAAGATTGATTTGGTTTTACAAAGATTGAATTGTTTTTACAAGGATTGCATTGAATTACTAGAATTGAATTGGTTTTACAGAGATATGATTGCTTTTTACAAAGATTAAATTGGTTTTACAAGGAGTAAATTGTTTTTACAAGGAGTAAATTGTTTTTACAAAGATTAAATTGGTTTTACAAGGAGTAAATTGTTTTTAAAAAGATTAAATTGGTTTTACAAGGATTAGGTTTTTTATTAAATTAATTTTAAAAAATTACAGTGTTACCGGTTTATATTTTGGCATCTTTTAAAGGCGGTCAATACTAGATTCCGTTTTAACTTTAAATAAACATCTAATAAAACTTTGAATAGTACCAATTGATTCATAGTTCAATTCTGTTTACCGAATACCTCCTTTATGTTTGCGACTACTTATTTTAAATAAAGATAGATTTGAATACTCTTAAATGAAGTTTATGACTTTGATTTTTGTTTTTAATTATATCAAAATTGCCAATTGTATATTCAAAATAAATTGTCTAAATTTATTTGCTAATACAATTAATCATAACAAATCCTATTTTCACTCTCATTAAGCTCCATAAACTACAAATCCC